GACTAAGCTGGACTGGCTTAGACTAGACTAAACTGGACTAACTTAGTGAAGCGTTTGGTGCAGTATTGAACTAAGAAGCTGGATAATAACAAATTCTAATATTATATTATTTAATATATAAATTATTAATATTTTATTATGATCTTATCTTTTTCTTCATCTTTTCCTACCATTTCCGTCCCACTCTTTTCCTCTTCTCTCATCGTCCCACCCTCTCCCTCTTTTTTTCCTCTTAGACCTCTCAATTCATGTCTCTTTCTCATTCCTGGTCAAACTCCTTATTGATTCCAGTGTCTATTTCTCTGTCCTCCCTCCCTCTCTAGCTATGTGTTGTTCGAATGGAACTTCACGGCTCCAATTTTCCCGACGAGTTGCAGGTTTCCCGATGTATTTTCCGGCCAACCCTCGTTAAATTGGATGAAGTTAGCACCGCCAAAAAATTCATCACCATCCCTAGACCGAGATCTTAGCTTTGAATGCTCGAATCTGTCATGGATTTGAAGAAGCCCAAACAGGCCGAGACTTCCAGGCCATTTTCCGGCCACATTCGACCACATTTTGGCCTCTATTCAGGTAAAATCGTAATCTTGTCACTCCCAGCTTCAATTTGGTATATTTTATATGAAAGTTGGTTGTGAAATGGATCTGAAAGGGAGTCGGAAAGTTAATGATTGATCTAGGTGATCGGAGATGATGAGGAGTCTGTCGGGAGTGGTCGTTGAGCATGACGAGGACGAGAAAGAGAGGATAGTCTTAGCTAGTCCCATGGTTATTGGGGGGTCTCGCTAAGACCTCTTAGTGAAGGGTTTTGTCCATGCTAGTCCACTTTAGTCTCATTAATGTTAGTCCCAGCATGAAACAAACACAGTATTGGACTAATAGCTAGTCCAGTCCAGTCTAGTCCAACTTAGTGAGGGCAAACAAACGCCCCCTGATGCTTCATCCAACACATCACACTTGGCATACATATCAAGCAAAGCATTTGACACGGGAATACTACACCTGACTCAAGTCCTCTCCATAGAGGCATATATTATTAAGCTTATATATCAGTCAGGGCCGTCTCTAATATTTCAGGAATCATGTGCGAAATTTACAAAATGACTCATTTTTAAGAAGTTTTTATTTTTTTTAAAGTAGGACAATATATTGGTACTAGAAAATAATAACTTAAATCAAGGCAACCTTTAGGACTCACTAATTGTAAGTTTACAAATGTCATTAAATAAGTAAAAAGAGTTACAAACGTCACTAAATAATAAATAACAGTTCAATCTTAAGCAAACAAATAAAGAAAAAAAAAAAAAAAGCTTCAAAAACTCTAACTTTAAAGTTTCACTTGAATATATAGCATTATTATATAATAAAATTGAAAAGAAAATTATTTTTTAAGGTGTTGTTATTGGCACTCCTACTATCTCATTGTGCACTTCAAATTTTTATATTTAGAAAGAAGAAAATTTACTTATAAAAAGTACACTATAAGATTTTAAAGTACTGATAAAAGTATATTTTTAATATATAACAATATTACGTATAAATATAAGATACCAAAATTTTTTGGAAGCCTTGTGCAATTGCATCTTTCGCTCCCCTTCAACACCGCCTCTGATATCAGTGAATGATCTGCTCTTTATTTCTTGTCATCTTTGAAGCTCTCGATCTGCCATCAAAAGTTCATCAATGGAAGCTTGTTGTTGTTCTTCACCAAAACTGTTACTTCTCCCAACAGTAATTACACTCGATTTCAATCCAAAAGAGTTGGCATTCCATCTTCAATAACATGTAAGTTGTTCTACCGCTTTTCTGTTTCAAACAGGGAAAGATTCCATGCTCTTCTTACAGTTGCTAACAGGGTTTCTGTCGAATGATAGGTAGCCGCGGGGAGTCATCTACGCCGTCCAACGATGATCACAAACCTTCCATTGATGCCGATTGGCGATCATTCAGAGCGAAACTGGTAGCTGCAGAGAAATCAAGGCCAAAAGAGCCCACTCAGCTTCCTCACTTGTTGATCTTCACACTCTGGTGGATCAACCTAATCCCATCACTGTTGGTGACAAATGGGCTCACACAATCCACAAGTCCTAAAAGGGCTGCCTACACCTTCCAAACGAAAATCTCGGCGGGGTCCATATTTTCTAGCGGACGATCACTTGGGTGTTGTCCACTGGACCTTTGGGCCCATCCGGCATCATTCTCAACCGGCCCTCCCTCATGTCGATCAAGGAAACTCGATCGACCGCTCTAGACGTGGCGGGCACGTTCTATGGCCGGCCATTGCTCTTCGGCGGGCCATTGGAGGAGGGTTGTTCTTGGTGAGGCCCAAGGGGGGTGATGATGCGGTTGGGAGGAGTGGAGATTTTTATGAGGTGATGAAGGGGTTGTATTATTGGACGAAGGATGGTCTGGGGTGTGCAGCTGAGATAGTGAAGAGGGATATGGTTGGGCTTGGGGAGTTTAGGTTTTTTTTATGGGTATTGTGAGTGGGAGAAAGGGCAATTGAAGAATGAAATTAAAGTTTGGTTATTGCACTGTGGCAGCTGTAGCCCAAGTGTGATTGATCTGAGTGTGGGAAGTGTTGGGTTTTGGGAGAGAGTCCTTGGGCTTATGGGCCGTCCTAAGGTCCGGTGAAACACGTTTGCAGTTGTCGGATACTAGAATTTGTGTTGGGATGTACGATTTGTCACGTATGTAATAATCGTGTACATATTTGACAATTGTTGAGTTAAAAGATGTGTGAATCTTATTATAGATCTCACACAATTATATATTGAAAAATGTAAAGTCATGCCAGGTCTTATATAATCAAATATTTATTGACAATCTAAAAATAATGATTAAACTTTTTGAATGGTTCACTTTCAATGTGATTTTTGTGATGAAAAAGTTGTTAACTAAACTTTCGTGGTGAGCTCTGTTATCAATTAGTATCTAAACATAAATGTCCGTTAGTTTCTGTCAAATAAGCACACGTAAGTCTTATGTGAAGAGGTTAGAGTTGTCCAATCAAACCAAATTAAGAAACCTAAGGTATCTGTCGTTTGATTTGTGATGATTGTGCGGAGATATGGAGTACCTTTTTCTTCTCTCCTCCACCCTACATGGATCATGCAGCAACAAATTGCATCCCTTGCTTTTGGTCGTTTTTTTATGGCGTTTTCGTGTTGCTTGTCATTTTTTCCTGGGTGAGATAAGTTCCCTGGTATAGGCTTGCTTCTTCTCTTGCAACAAAAAAAAAAAAAAAATATTCACGCCTCACATGTTGTTTATTTAACATAAGACTAACAGAAGCTTAAGTTTGAACCTTTATTGCTTACATAGCTCATTACGAGAGTCACATTGAAAATGCCGTATAATCACATAAACCACCAAAAAATTTGGCCAAAAATAAGTACTATTATTTCATTTTGATAAATATTGCTTGAAAAATGTTTGTACTGGCAGTATATTTCTTTTTGTTTTAATTGTGTGGCCTAGCTTTAGTTTTTCTTTTTTGATTTCTCAAAACTCTTTTTGTCAACCCAATGCGTCCCGCATGACTTTTTCATTTTTTTTCTAATTTAAATTAAAATAGTAATTCAAACTCTTTCTTTTTTAGGAGGAGATGTAAGATTAGCCTTACAATGGGCTAACAATCATATTATTCAAATTTGTTTTTGGCGAGAATCAAACATATGATACATTTCACTTACAAGTGAAGAAGAATACCAATAGATTGTAGTACTAAGTAGCAAAATAAAAATATATCTGAATATCAAGAATTAAAACAAATTAATTTTCCCAAAAGAGATTGGGAAAATGATCCCCTCCAGATCCATTACGTGAGGATCCTAGGAATTCTTACATCTCAATTGCCCATCGTATATCGTACGGTCAGTTTTCATCAGATACTATTTGTATTTAATTTAAAATAATAAAAGTCAAATAATTTGTGATCGCACGATATACGATGAACAACTGAGATGTGAGAATACATAGAATCCACACAATGGATCCGGAGAGGATCTTTTTCCGAGAGAGACTCGAGTCTTGAGTCTTTGAGTTGACCAATCAGATTTGAGCAGAACAAACAAAGCCAAAATCCAAAAAAGCAATCAAATTTCTAATTTGTTTGCGAAATTGCAAATAAAATTTAATACACAATGGCTGTACTTTTCAATTTTCTCTCTCATATTTGGTAAGTCTAAAACAAAAGATAACGTAAGCCACGTTCCCTTCAACGCAAGTGGAAAAGATCCACGACCACCTCAGACACCAAATGACAAACGTCTCGGTCGGGCTACGTGGCGGAACAAGATCACTCGCGTGGAATCCACACCCCGAGGAAGATCGAATGATTGCAAGTCGAGTCAGCCACTTGGGAAACCGTCTGTTAGGTTCTTTGGTGCTTCAGTGAACCCAGTTGTCTCCATCCTTTTTAGTACTTTCCGAATATAAATATTTTTGTACCCAAAAAGCACGGAAGATGAGAGAATCTAGAAAATGTTGAAAATAAGAAAATTAATATAATTATAAAATGGTCACATCTTTGACGAGTCCCATGTATAATCATACGCCGTTGAATTTGTTGCAAGAAGATTGAGATTAAAAAAATTAATTTATTTTTTATATCAAATGTCAAAATAATCATCATGTATTCATTAGTCATCCAACAAGATAATTTTTAATATATTAAAAACATGATTTAATATATTAAGTACTATAATTTGAAGTTCTTTTTAAGTATCTAATTACTAATATTATGAAATTTAGTAGACTAGACCGAGAACATATATGTATACATACATATATATATATATAATTTTTTTTTTAATTTTCACATCCTAAAAAATCCAGAATTAAAAGCAATAATTAAATGTGGGGAAAAGTCATTGGAGCAAAAGCCATAGGTGAAGAAAGAGAGAGAGGGGCAGACCAGAAGTTGACAAATTTGAAGTCATTGTTGCTCTTGAACAAGTTATTTGTTGTTGTTTTTTGAGGTCTCTGATTGTGGGGAAATTAAAAAGGAAACATCTTTCTATGTTTGGAATGTGAGAAATTGTAGAGGAAGCATCTTTCTCTAATTCTCTCATCAGATTCTGCTCCAGCAACTCTGATTTGCTCTGTGTCTTGTCTTGTCTATGGAGACAGTAATCTGAGTTTTTCTGAGTGTTTAATGTTGGTTTACAACTACCTACTTTGTTGCTGCTGTTTTTTATTGTGGCTGTGAATTTTGATGGAGCTCGATTGGTTTCTGGGTCGGTGGAAATCTTGGTGAATTTGTAGGGAGCCATATGAGGTAATCTTCAATTTTTAGTCTTCAATTCTCAATTTTATGACTTTAATTTTCGATTTAGTTTGCAGGTTAAATTACAAATTATAATCTATCTATCTATAAGTCTGTTTCTTTTATGAATATCTTTGTATAATTGACTATATATATAATTATATTTGTATGTATGTAGTATGTGTGTGTAAAAGTGGGTTGTGTCCAGTTTCAGTATGCAATCTGGTGATGTGGTTTTGCTGATTGTTTTGACAATACTGAGGCTAAGTTGAATTGTCACTGTATCTAAGTTGAATTTTGCCAATGCTTCTCGGGTTAATTGCAGGAATGGGAACTGAAGTGCAGTTGAAGAGGTATTTCCCGGGATATTATTCCATACAGAACCTAAGCAGCGCTGTCAGCCATGGGAGCCGGTTCCGACTCCACGAGAACAGAAACTTGAAGAATGGGCAACAATATGAAGTATTCTTGACAAGGCCAGTTACTGATGTAATTTTATAGGTTTATGCCGAATCTGAGTTTTCCTTGATTCAGTTTCGCGTATTCTGAGTGAACTTGTATGATTAATCAGAATAAGTTTACAGAAAAATCTGTTAAACTGATGAATTGTAACATAAACTGCAAGAGCGTTGTACTGCCCAAATCAGGTTTTAGAGAGGAATTGTGATGTTTTTCAATACTTCAGGTTGATTTTTGCATCCAGTCTTCTCTGAATCTCGTTCATTTGACACGCATCGCCAGCACCTCAGTTGAGTGAAAGTCTAAACTCATAGAGTACACAACTGCATCTATTCACCTCTGCATTTCGTCACAAGTAGATCGATCATTAACCATAGTAAAAATCCATACCCTCTGCTTCTGGATCGGATCCAACAAGAGGATCTAAGGTAGCTTTAAGGTAGGTAAGGGAGAGAAAGATCTCAATAAAACTACTGTCTCACCGGCGAGTACAAGTTTACTTGCCCAGTTCCGCGAGGTGTACAACTCAAAAACGCTCCTAGACACGGGCCTAAACTACCTAAGCAGTCTTACAATTGTGTAAGTCTAAGTTGTATCACTTCACTTATCTCAGTCTCACCAACATGATAACTACCTCATGTCCCACGACAAATAACAGTACACAATCTCGTTAACAAGTCGATGATACTCTACATAACTTTGTTTTCTTTTCAATTTCCTTACCAAGTTATGGATCGGATAAATTTTGTTTTCCTACATCACATTTACTCGGATTCTGAAAGGACAACCTCAAACTCTCATATGTAAGACATCCTCTGAAGAATTCTCTCTTTCCTAGTAGTACAAGGAAATTAAGGGTCGTTGGACAATGGATGTCAACATTAATGTTAACCCTCTACATGTAGAAACACAAGTTCAAAATATTTGTTGGTTTAATTTATTTATTAATATTAATAAACTAAATATGTACATAATATAACAGCATAAAGGAGGAGGGTGGTAACACTTCCAACTTCCACAAATGCATTTTTTTGCTCCTTTCACACTAATTCGTTGGCGGACAGAAAAATCCAAAAATAAAATTGGGAAATTTTATTTAAACCCATCTAACCTATTTTTACACCCAACTTACTCTTTGCACCCATTTGATTTTAACTAAACCATTAATATCTCTTTAAACCCAAATTTAATACCTAATATACCCCCATCAACCCAATTCAATATGTGGATTTATTTTTACACCCATTTGATTTTTAGAAGCTAAATTTGATGGGAGGAAGCTCCTCCTGTAATTTGTTCCATGGCAAGGAAGTGGTCTAGAATTCGTAACACCAATCTGAACTTGATTTCTTTGGTCTGGCCCCCGTACTTATTCCATTTCACAGGACACTCCCACCAGGACTTTGCATGGGGTCGCCATGCTCCTTGACAGGCCACCCAAACAAATTACGATCAGTGGATGCTTTTGTGGCGAGTGACTCCATGCATCTTTTTGGAATGTTGAGTTCTTCAGCATAAGGGAGAATGTCATCACAAGTTTGAAGTGCCTTTAGAGAGTCCTTCCAATTTGGAAGAACTACTTGATTGAGAAAGGCTTCACTTTGTGTGATTAAGTTGTCCTCCCCGTACTCTTCAGTCATTTCTAGATGCCGGAATTGACAGTGAGAGAAATTGGAAACAACCAAGGTTGAGCAGAATCGTATAGTTTTCAAATTTGCAATTAAGGCTAATGAAATTGCTGACCGTATCGAAGTCAGATCATGGTTTTCTAATTGCAACTCATGGTTTGCCAATTCATAAATTGAAATCAAACGAATAAAAATTTCATAAATTGAGTCATACCTTGGTTGGAGGATTCAAAACTTCAAAATCACCATCCATTAATAAAAAAAACTTATTTTTCTCTATGAAAGCTATTAGGGTTTTAGCTAGAATGAACGTAGGATAAACAATGAGTGATCGTAGGGTTTAATTATAGTGTTTGGGTTTATTGATGAATTTGAGTTTTATTATTAATTTCATTTTGTACTTAATAGTAATTATGCAATAGGGTAAAATAGACAATTAATATTTAAAATTTAAGTTGTGTGTAAAAAGAGGTTAAATTGGTTTAAATAAAATTTCCCAAATAAAATTTGTCCAAATGAGAGTGCACTTTGTTGTTGGCAAGGAAGAGTTTTTTTATTTTTTATCTATGAACTTTGTTGTTTGCCTTTTACACATAATAGGTAATGTACAATATGATCCAACTCCATATAAATAAGTTTTGAGGATATTTTTGGTATATAATTTGTTCAATTTGTATTTTGATTCATAGCAAGCTTAAAGTTGTGGTAGAGGATGGACTCGTTTGCAAATACTGTAACATCTCACATTGTCCTGAGAAGTTGATCCTGTAAGCCTTATATGTATATTCTCATCTCTACCTAGCACGAGGCCTTTTGGGAGCTCACTGGCTTCGGGTTCCATCGGAACTCTGAAGTTAAGTGAGTTCGCGCGAGAGCATTCCCAAGATGGGTGACCCCCTGGGAAGTTGCTCGTGAGTTCCCAAAAACAAAACCGTGAAGGCGTGGTTGGGGCCCAAAGTGGACAATATCGTGCTACGGTGGAGTCGAGCCCGGGATGTGATGTGGGCCTGGGCCGAGACGTGACAATTTGGTACCAGAGCCAATCCCTGGCTGGAAGTGTGCCGATGAGGACGTCGGGCCCCTAAGGAGGGCGGCTTGTAACATCCCACATCGCCCAGGGGAGTGGATCATGTAAGCCTTATATGTATATTCCCATCTCTACCTAGCACGAGGCCTTTTGGGAGCTCACTGGCTTTGGGTTCCATCGGAACTCCAAAGTTAAGCGAGTTCGCGCGAGAGCATTCCCAGGATGGGTGATCCCTTGGGAAGTTGCTCGTGAGTTCCCAGAAACAAAACTGTAAGGGCGTGTTTGGGGCCCAAAGCGGACAATATCGTGCTACGGTGGAGTCGAACCCAGGATGTGGTGTGGGCTCGGGCCGAGATATGACAAATACTGTTCAAATAGCTAAAAGCATTTTTGGTGAAAACATTTTTTGAACTAATTCTTGGTAAAAATGCAAGTGAATCATAAAAAGACACTTGAAGTACTTACTCTGAGAAGCACATATCTTGTGCTTCTAAGAGGAAGCATTTCAAGTACTTTTGGACTCCAAACATTTTCTCTAAATGCGCTTTTAGTCATTTTAAAAGCATTTCCAACTGAGTTCTAGAAATAAATTCTTTTGTGGTGTTAGGCCATCTCCAATCGATGGCTTGCCAGATGGCTCGTTTTAGCCCTCTAGCCCTTCAAGATTCTCCAAAATATTAATATTTTAATAAACAGTACATGACCATATTTGCTTCCGTCTCCAACCGAGGGCCAAAGGGTCAGAGGGCTCGTTTTAACCCTATCACAAAAAACCGCTCCAACCGAGGGCCATATGACTAAACATAATTTATTATTTAAAAACTACAACTTAAATATTGTTTAAGTTTCATGTTGTTAAATGTTTTTTTAACAAATATGAAAAACTAGAAATGTTTTTAATAATTTGTTAAATGTTGTTAAAAACTACAAATTTTGTAAAATAGAAGTTATAGGAAAAAAATAGAATTTAAAAAAATGAAAAATAGAAGTTAATAGGAAAAATTTTGTAAATAACAAATAATAATAAAACTGTAAAAAAAAAAAATTCAAATCAATCATGTCGGTTTTAACCGACAGGAATACATTCATATTATTAATTATAAATGTATTACTGTCGGTTAAAACCGACAGAATTGATTTGAATTCTGGCCAGCCCTGGGCCCTCCAACCCTCCAGCCCTCTCCGATTTCGTGGGACCCTCTCAGATTTCACAGCCCTTTAGCCTAGCCCTCGATTGGAGACGATTTTCGGGCTATTTTCGACCCTCTAGACCCTTCGGTTGGAAATGGCCTTAGGGATACTATCTCTCATACTATTTATATATATATCTTTGAGTTTTTCTTATAATCCCTTATGAATTACATGTTCTTATGCTTTAAAGCTATCGTTTGATTTCTTTGTATTTGTCATTCTGCGTCCTTTATCTTTTTTTTTTTTTCTTTTTTTCTAAATTTTGTTGGACAAAGGAAAAAAGAAATTTGATTATCCAACTTCCATGCATTATGAAGAGTGGCAATCAACTACATTAGATGGTATATATGGGATGAAAATGAAAGGGTCAAAAAGAAGACAATTCAAAAGGAATCTACGGCGTCCACTGTTTATCATTATGCTATGTCTATAATATAGTCCAAATAATTAATTAGAGAATAATCAGTGCATATATAATTGTAATTTGTTAGAGAAAATAGATATTGCTTCTCACGGCATTCATGAGACCATAATACCTGAACAAAGTCTATTAAAAGAGTAATGATAGGTAGACTAATCATTTAATCGTTAGCATTAGTCATATCTAATGATGGATAGAAATCACGTGATTATTATTAATTAATACTACGGCCTAGTGATATTCTTCTTCATTTGTAAGTGAGAGGTCTTAGATTAGATCATTGCCAAAAACAAATTTGAATCACATTATTGTTAACTATTATGAGACTTAGTCTATTCTCTCACTCTTTTAATAATATAGATAATATCGTTTGTTTAAAAAAAAAAAAAAAAAAAAACCACGTGACTGTTTCTCTCTCCCTTCTCATGCCTTCCCTCAACAGTCATACATAATTGCAGTAGAGAGAGAGTTCCCCAAACTTCGAACAAAATTATTTACCAAAAAATAACTTCGAAAAAATAAGCATATATATATGTATACAAACATTTCGGTTAACCCTCAGGGCTTAGAAAAGTTACTTGTTTTTTAAAAATAATAAAAATAAAAAAGGACTAGTTGGTGACGTAATGCACCATTTCGAAGGTCGAACAGATTCATAAAAGCATTTCAGCCTCTCTCTGTTCCTAAAACTCATTGTTCAATTCACCAGCATCAAGAATCGAACTTAGAACGTACCGTGTAGTTAAATTGTCTCAATCATAAGTAAATTAGTAATATAAACATTTTCTGGAAAAGAAACTTTGAAGTGATTTTTATAAAACATTTGGATTTTATTTTATAAAAAAATTGTCCTATAAAAACACTTACGAGTAGAAGCACATTATGTAAAATGGACCCTACCTGTTGATCTCAAATGTGATTAGTAACCAGTTCCCCCCAGTTCTTCCAGTTCAATTTGTATTTTAGTAACCGGTTCCCCCCGGTCATCATCCAGTTTCCCCCAGTCATCCCGGTCATCATCCAGTTCCATCACTTTCCACGCAACTTCAATCGTGCAGGATGGCACATTAAAAACCCCTCGCCCCGTCCCGCCCCGCCCCCCCCGGCGCAACTTCAGGCCTACGAAGGCACTTTAAACCCCCCCTCCTCTTTAAAACCAACCCCGCTTGAGTACATAAAAATTTATCCTCCTCCCCCCTCCTTTCCCTAAGTTCATTAAAACCCACCACCACCCCGCCGCGCTCCCCCCCCTCCTTTCCCTCAGTTCATTAAAACCCACCACCACCCTGCCGCGCCCCCGCCCGCGGCCCCCCCCCCCCCAAAACCAAACAAAACACAACCATTGTGTTTTGAGTACATAAAAATTTATCCTCCTCCTCCTCCCCCCCTCCTTTGCCTCAGTTCACTAAACCCGGACAGCACCAATAATCAATTAGCTCCCTTCTCACTTCTTCTCCCCCCCCTCCTTTCCCTCAGTTCATTAAAACCCACCACCACCCTGCCGCGCCCCCGCCCGCGGCCCCCCCCCCCCCCCCCCCCCCAAAACCAAACAAAACACAACCATTGTGTTTTGAGTACATAAAAATTTATCCTCCTCCTCCTCCCCCCCTCCTTTGCCTCAGTTCACTAAACCCGGACAGCACCAATAATCAATTAGCTCCCTTCTCACTTCTTCTTCGGGTTCCCCCAACCCGAACAGCAGCAGTAACCCAAATATTTTACGATTAAGAAGTAATGCACAGCGGGACTTTGGTTGATCCTCAACGAATCCCAGCTAGGTTAGTATATTTTCTTTTTCTTTCATTCTCTCTACTTTCTAATTATTTGGTTTTACTACTCCTAATAAAGTACTCATAAGGTGATAAGCTAGGGAAATTCATCCACTTACTAATCTAATTTTCTTTCCAGCATCACAGGGGAGGATACTGGTCTCCACGAATGCATTTTCTTTCTCCTCGCCATGCTAGGTATGCTCCTACAAGTTAAATGTTCAACCTCACAGGCGTCTCCATTTGACACAGACTATGTCATTATTTTGATGTTAATTGTCGATTTATTCGCATATGTCGGGACATTGGCTATTGTCAAGATACTACAAGCTTCCCACAATCTAGATATGTATAAATTGATGAACAGAATCAGCCTTTTGTGTGGAACTTTTGCCTTGATTCTACTAACGTTCATCCTTGTTCCAAATTTTGGGTGGTTTGCTCTCACATGTTGGGCCATATGCTTTGTGTCAACTGTGGTTAAGTCCTACCCAACCTTGAAAAGACTTTGTACAACAAATGCAACTTATGTCATTCGCAAACTAAAGGACCTGAAGAAGAAATTGAATGGCACGGAAGAATCTCAATCTCAAAATCAAATTGGGATAGTTTAATTAATGGGTATATTTCAGTTTGTCCCTTCAAGTTTGTGTTTGATTGTAACTCTACACAAAATCTTAGAACTTTACAACCTCGCACAAAAAATTAAAATTTCAGTGTAATATCATAGATTCGTTAATTTTTCTATCAGTATCTCTATTATATGGCTATGTGGCATAATGAGGCCCACTCTATCACCTTTATGCTACCCAAATTAAAAATTCAAAAGAAAATTTTGCTTTTGGAAATTCATTCAAATATTTTTACATATAAAAAGTACGATGTTCATCGACATGTTACTACAAAATGAATGTATGAATATATAGTTTTTATTTTGGAATGAATATATATAATTAGTCACATCATAAAGCATATGAAGTTAACATTTTTTTCAACAATTCACGAAGTTTGGAACTTATTCTCAATAATGCCACTCGCTACAGAAATACCCAATACACATAGATTGTATATTTCAAATTAAATTGCTATCACCCTAAAAAATTAGATTAATGTATTCGACAAACCTCGCTTCTTACTTGGACAATTGTTCAGACGCTCTCTCACTGAGAAAACTCCACGCTCGCATTTTCGCTCACGGCCTCGGAAACAATATATTTCTCGGCTTCAAGCTCCTGAATTGCTACGCAAAGTTCGACCTTTTATCAGATTCCAGATGGGTTTTCGACAGAATCGTCAACGGGAATCTGTCTCTCTGGAGTGCAATTCTTGTTGGGTATTTCAGAGCCGGTCAATTCGACGAAGTTCTTCGGCGGTACGTGGATTTGAGGCGATGGAATATCGGGTTGGATAGCGGCGCCATTACGTTTGGTTTGAAAAGTTGTATCGAGTTGGGGGATTTGGGATTTGGACGAGGGATTCATGGGGATGCTTTGAAGTCTGGGTTTAGTTCAAATGGATTTGTGGGTTCGTCGCTTATCGGGTTGTACTCTAGATTTAGGTTTGTTGAAGATGCAGCTGAAGTGTTCGATGAAATTACTGGGAGAGATATTGTTGCTCAGAGTGGCGACCAACGTGCTTGTGAGGCTTTTGGGTTTGCTCGCCGTATGCAGCGGCAAGGATTGCATCCAAATCGGGTCACTCTTGTTAGCTTACTTCAGGCAGCGTCGCAGTTAGAGTTACTGAAAGAAGGACGTTCAGTCCATGGCTGTGCTATTAGAAGAGGAATTGGTGGTTCGGATGAAGTATTCGAAACAAGTCTCGTGGACATGTATAACAAATGTGGATCCCCATTTTTGGCTATATGAACAACGATACATCCTGCAATTTTGGCGAAATGGATAGAAATACTATTGGTTCTTGGAACGTGATGATTGCTGGTTATCTTAAATTGGAGCAACCCTTGGAGGCCTTCCGCCTTTTCTGTAGAGTGATGGGAGAAAATTTCGTCCCGGATTTGATAACTTTGACCAATGGGATTCTGTCTTGTGCTTGCTTGAATTATTTGCGTCCTGGAAAGAGTATCCATGGTTATATTATTCGGGCTGGTGTTCAAATTGATCTATTGGCAGCAACCGCTCTGGTCGATCTATACTCCATATCAAACAAGTTGATCCAGTCCAGGGAACTATTTGATAGAATGGAGAAAAAGGATGCTATATCTTATGATGTGATGATGACGGGCTATGTTTACCGTGGCATGCCGATGAAATCGTAACATTGTTTCGATCGATGCAAATGGAGCAAGCACAACATGATTTAGCTACTCTGATAATTTTGCTTCATGCAATTTGTGAGCTTGGAAGTCTGAATTTTGCAAAGGAAGTCCACTGTAACTTATATCGAGCTGATATGAACAACGATAAATCTCTCACCAATTCTTTGGTCACGACTCATTCCGAGTGTGGGAAATTAAATACGGCAGCTAGTCCATTTGAGCATGCAGTTGAACGGTGTCTGACATCATGGAACACGATGATGCTTGCATATGGGATGCACGGCAGACCCTTTAACCTTTTCGTTGTAATCGTCAACTAATTTCTGAAACATTATTCACATAGATCAATAACCTGAGTACTCCAAGGAAAGTTGCGAGTTAGAGACATCACCTAATTTGTTGGAAAATTACAAAAATAAAATTGCCCAAATGGGTGGACCACTGAGTCAGTGACAATGACTAAGATAATCTTCCATATCTTGTGGTTAAAGGGCAGTATTGTCCATTGGATCTTTACGACGCCATCGCCCCAAGTTATTTGTCTTATGAGTGTGATAAATATATGGACTTGCATGATAATCATGCTTTCATAGTGTTGCATAAAATTTTCTTGAAATCGAAGTACAATATTCATTGATAGCAATTGAAAATGTAAATGTGAATATAAATAATTTTTTTAATAAAAAAAATATATAAATATTTCAAATTCATGATTTTAATTTCGTGTCAAATTAGTTTTGTTCAAAGACTTACATATTTATTAAATTCACACTAATGTAGTATAAGTGTTATAAGTATCAAAATTAGGCTATTTAAAAACATTTTTATATATTAATATCGCATTTAAACATATTTAGAGAGAGAAACGTGTCATTTAAACACATTTTTCTTGATTTTTTGTGTATATTAGAGCAAATTAAGGTAAACTCATCTAAACATACACATAATCCATAGTATATGATCCATAAACCATTTCAATACATATGGAATTGTCCTCAATGACTTCTCATAGTTTTAAAAAATAAAAAATAAAATTATGATCACGTATTACAAATATTAACTACCTTTCTCACTACACATAACAAATATTCCATGTGGAGTTCATGTTAATAGAATGAAATTTTATCTTTATTCAAAACAAATATTTTGTTTCTTCAATTTCTTTGAATTCAAACAAAATTGAACTGTTGAATAAAAAAATAGGGATGTAAAATAGCTTACGTGGCTCAGGAATTGGATTCGATGATTCAACATTAGTGTACTACCCCGTGTTTCAGTCACATTGTAAAATCTCTCATAACTGAATTGCTTTTATGGCCCAACGAGTGAGCTACAGTGACTAAAAATATTTAGGAATATGTTTGTTCACGACTCTAGGATGATAGTGATGCTAGTATTTATAACTATTTGATAAGTCTAAATATCAAAAATATACTGTTAAATGAATTTAAATATTAAAAATATGTGTGATGAGTAGAAACAAATTTCAAAATTTAAGTGGTGAGTTACCACTACTTGAAGATAATGAGTAAATATGCACCCGCAAATCTGCAAGGTGTTTTTTTTTTTTTTTTTTTTAAATTTAATTTATTTTTTTATGAATATCTGCGAGGTGTTTGGAACGTGCGCCGAAGGCTGGAGTTGTCCATTGCATCAGTTTGGCGCTTCGGCATACTACGAACGAGTTAGGAACTTTCCGCAAGGGTCTATTTTTTGTGAAAGTTCAGTTGTAGCACTTCTTCATGCCTTTGACAAATTGAAAGATCTCATATTACATGGACTACTGACGCTGTTCCTTATGTCCGTGAAAATGAAGGAGGTGATGAGGTTGAACGGCAGCGAAGAACCACAGAACCAGAACGGGGATGCCTGAGTTTAATAGGTAAGCTGGAATGCACAGTACACCTTTTCAAAACATGTGTTTTTTTTTTTTTTCATCCCAAATCAAAGAAAAAGGAGAGAATATCATACCGGATCAAATCCAATCGTTACATGATAATTGTATTACACAATTGCATGTAACAGTAAGACTTCATCTCATCGATTTGTCTTTGTGAAATTAATGAAAAGGAGGAGGGGTATTGTTGTCCAAAAAATTATTATTTTATGTTTCATAGCCTATAACAACTAACAAGTCGTTCCGAGAGGGAGAGTGGCACAAAAAATTAACTAAAATCTGTTCTACGGAACATCGCGTCCCAAGCAAATTGGCGCACCAAACATGGGACGAGTGCTTCCCGTCTCACAACATTCCGTCCCATTGCACGTTAATTCGTTGGAAATTTCACATAGAAGGTTAGACCTTTTTATTTTTATTTTTTTGGAAACTGTAGAAGGTTAGACTTTGGACATCATCTAATTCGTTACAAATTCCACGTAGAAGGTACAAAAAAATATAAGAATCAAACCCACACGCACACTTACCACAAAGCAAAGATATGGAATCAAACCCACACGCACACTTACCACACAGCAAAGAACACTTCCACAAAGCAAAGAGATGGAAAGCGAAACCATCGATCCCTCGGTTAGACTTCGGACATCATCTAATTCGTTAGAAATTCCACGTGGAAGGTGCAAAAAATCAAATGATAAAGCAAAGAACACTTACCATCGGCCACAAATCCAAGAGGCAAATGATAAAATAAACCCGCCGGCTGATAAAATACAGGAATAAAGAACTCATCCATCTAGAACCCACAATGCATCGGTCATTTCTGAATTCTAACCGGGCCCCACGTTGTCCATCTCGGCATTCGTCGGTCATCTCGGCATTCATCGGTACTCCAAACCGACTCAAAACCTCATCTCCCCCGACTGATTCCTTTTTCATCTCCTGAATATACGGCGTCCACTATTTATCACTATTGCTACGTCTATAATATAGTCCAAATAATTACTTAGAGAATAATCAGTACAGATATAATCGTAATTTGTTAGAGAAAATAGATATTGCTTCTCACGGCATTCATGAGACCATAATATATGAACAAAGTCTATTAAAAGAATAATGATAGGTAGACTAATAATTTAATCGTTATATCAAACGATGGATAGAAATTACGTGACTATTATTAATTAATATTATGGTCTAGTGATATTTTTCTTCACTTGTAAGTGAGATGTTTTAGATTTGATCATTGTCAAAGATAAATTTGAATTACATTATTGCTGGCTATTATGACATTTAACCCACTCTCTCTCTCTTAATATATATATATATATATATATATATATATATAATACCATTTGTTAAATTAAAAAAAAAAAAAAAAAAAAAAAAAAAAACCACGTGACTGTTTTTCTCTCCTTTCTCATGCCTTACCTCAAAAGTCATACATAACTGCTAACCCTCTGGGCTTCGAACAAAATAAGCATGTATATGTATACAAACATTTCGGTTAACCCTTGGGCTTAGAAAAGTTATTTTTTTTAAAAAATAAAAAGGACAAGTTGGTGACTTAGTGCACCATTTTGAAGATCGAAAATATTTATAAAGGTATTTCAGCATTTCTTTGTTTCTAAAACTCATTGTTCGATTCACTAGCATTAATAACCGAACTCATAACGTGCCATGTAGAATACATACCTAAAATTCGTCCATTTATCACTGAATCATCCGTGGTAGTTCTCTACTTAAAAATGTTAGTTTCGTACAATGGTTCTCCTGTTTTGTTAAATTGCATCAATCATAATTAATATAAACAGTTTCTGGAAGAGTAACTTGGAAGTGTTTTTTATAAAACACTGGGATTTTATTTTATAAAAAATTTGTCCTATAAAACTACTTCAAGTAAAAACATTTACGAGTAGAAGTACATTATATGTCAAAAAATTTCAAATGGACCCTACGTGTCGATCTCGACACCTTGTGAATTATTTTATAGTACACCTTGTGGAAAAACTACGAATGCCCCACGTTGTCCAGTTCGGCATTCGTCGGCTCCAAACCGACTTAAACCTCGTCATTTCCTTTCCTTCCTGCTTACCCCTCGATATTTTTGCTACATACAAGGTCAGACTAAACTTTGGTCAAAGGTCTCTTTGCACAAGGAATATCGAAATATATATATATATATATATATATATATATATATATTATGGGACCAGGCTGTGTATAATCTCAAAACTTGCTAATTCTAACAAGTCCAATCTTTCCCTCCCTATAAGTAGTACACCACCTCTGAAATTATTCTTTTAACTTTAAGGTTCTTCCTTTCCGCTACTCACTCCATACGCAACTTTTTAGTATCCATCTCCTGAATATTCTCGCGGCCACCGCAGCGTTCCTCGCAAGAGTTTCAACACATGCACAGAACCCACATCCCCCTTATACACGTCGGAACTTCGGTTAATCCTCCACAAATCCCAGCTGGGTTAGTATATTTTCTTTAGTTATCATCATTTAGTTGTTTAATTTTTTGAATCCATTCTTCTCTGAAACTCTTTCATCTACGATACTTCTTTTTCGTTTTCAATTTCCAGGTTCAAGTTATGGATCAAAGAAATTTGGTTTCCAGATATTCTATAACATGCCTTCTGATCAATTCTCTCTCTTTATACTACCTGTAGTACAAGAAAAAAGCGCATTCTGCAATTTGCATAATGGATGCAAACATTAACATTGACCCTCTAACAGAAACGTAATTTCAAAATATTTACCAAAATAATTTTTACCAAGGTTAAATAGTTTTTCATATACTTCGCCATGTATGCATATATGTATGTATGTTGTTATTCTGTCCTCGTATATCTTGATAGTTTTGTGGAAAACTCTTTTTCCCCTTTTCATTTTAGTTCTTTCAAAATCAACTGGAAAAAAGTTTCTTCGTTACGTTTCGTACTTGTTAATTTTGAGTGAGTGCAAGTAAATTCAAGGCAAAATAATCATAAAATCAATTTTTTTTTTCAAATTTTATTATTATTAAGAAGATGGGAAGAATTCGAAACTGCTACAATAATTTAGGAGGAGAGAGTTTCCAATCCGGTACGCATGAGTGGAAAACCCAACACCTTATTTTCTAGGATATTGGACCACATACAAGCCTAAAATGTTTGATCGTGGGATGTTTTGACATTTCAATTTGATTAGATAGTATTTTGTGGAACTAAATTTGCACCCGTTTGATTTTTTATTTTCATTTTAATATTTGTTTGCAGTAAATAAAGGAGACGTATGTAGACATATGAAAGAAATGACGAATAAAAAAGAGTGAAGAAACAATATGTATACGAAACGGGGTCTTTGATAAGCTCATGTTCTTAATTAGCTAGCAAATGAGTTTGGACTGTGGGCAGATATTCTTAACGGTTGATGACGCATGTCAATGTCATTAACTAATATGGAAGAATTGAAAAATAGGAACTGATGTTATCATTAGAGTAATGTTACAGAGATCATTTTCCCGTTCATTAATTTTCTGTGTTGTTTATAATACAGCAGCACTATGGTGGAGGGTGGTCAGCACAAATCTCTACCAGCAGCACACAAATATATATTCCATCTCCTCAACATCCTAGGAGTCCTCCTCCAGGTGAAGTATGCGACCGAAAATTTGCCGTCTCCATTTGTCACAGACCACGATACTGTTGTGATGTTGATTGCTGATTTACTCACTTATGTGGGGACATTGGAGATTGCCAACATTCTCCAAGCTTGCAACAATACAAATATATATGAATTGATGAACAGCATCAGCCTCTTGTGTGGAACTCTTGCGTTGGTTCTACTGGTGATCCTCCTCGTTCCGGCTTTCGGATGGTTCACTCTTGCATGTTGGGTCGTATATTTTGTGATAATTGTGACCAAGTCCTACCAAACCCTAAAAACTCTGTCTACTGACGCTGTTCTTTATGTCCGTGACAAATTGAAGAAGCTGATGAGGAGGTTGAACGGCAACGAAGAACAAATGAGCCCAAACGATGAAGAACAAATTTGCTACACTCATGATTCCAAACGATGACACTAAAAACCATAAATTTGCCACACTCGTGATTTTATGGTTCTGTATGTTATCTAATTTATGGTTTTTATAGATATATAGATAAAAACCATAAATTGAGCATCCTAAAATAAGAATTTCATAAAGTACATGGTTCTTTATGTTATCTACTTTTATTGCATCCATTCTTCTCTAAAACTGTCTCATTCACGGACGCCAACGGACTCTGAGTGTAGTACCCCAAAAAAAAAAAAAAAAAAAAAAGGCTTCTGCAATTTGCACAGTGGATGCAAATCTTAAAATTAACCCTCTAACATGTAGAAACATAATTTTAAAATACATACCAAAATAATTTTAGTAAACTAGAAATAGCAATCTAACATTAACTAATAACAAATAAGAAAGCAAATTCCAAACTTGCAGACAGCCCCTAAAAAATCAGAGAGTCAACAATACAAAGATCGAAGAAAGCCCTCGATCCAAATGCAAAAGCAAAAAAATTGAAACCAAATAAAAAGAAATCAAGCGGTAATTGGAATTAGGGGATTTTCAAAACAGAAATCTTAAGTTTAATTCTAAATCCCCAAATTGAAGGTTTAAAACCCTAATCCTCAATTTCAGAATCCAAATCAAGGTATAATAATTTCACGAATCTTGGTACCTTCAGACCAGAGAAGCTTCGATTTGGAGGTCGTGGTAGGAGAAGGAGGTGAAACCGTAGAAGTCTGGATCTGGAATATGGAGGACTCATAGAAGTGTGGTGGTCGATGACTCGACGGCCAGCGTGTTGAGTCTGTCGGCAGAGGGAGGAGGAGGAGGAGAGTAGAGAGTGCAGAAACGATGCTCGAGAGAGAGTGCAGACTCTTTGAGAGACGAGAGAGAGTGAGGTCTTTTACCCAACGGTTGAGATTTAATCTCAACGGAATCCAACGCTTACAATTTATTTTAATATATATAATTATAAGAATATATATTATATATATCGGTTCGGGAATTACCCAACATTTGGCAAACAGATCCCAATTCCCAACCGAAATATGAGGATTTTTTCGGTATGGATTATTGAATTTTTCGAAATTTTTTGTTTTGGGATTTTTTTAATTTTGGGTTCAGGAGAGGGGAGAAATATGTAGATATATGAATAGATAGGCTTTTATGGAATTGAATTAGTGCCCGTGTGATTCTTGTTTCGTTTTAATATTTCTGTGTAATAAATAGAGGAGAAATATGTATATATATATATATATATATATATATGAAAGAAATGAGGAATAAAAAATAGTGAAGAAACAATATGTATATGAAATGGGGTTTTGGATAAGCTCATGTTCTTAATTAGCTAATAAATGAGTTTGGGTTGTGGGCAGATATTTTAACGGTTGATGACACATGCCATTAACTAATATGGAAGAAATTGAAAATTTAATATAAGTCCAATTTTTTCAGCCAATATTAAGAATGGTCCAGTTTTTAAATTTAGTCAAATTTCTTAAATTTAAGATTGTTATTGTCAATAATTATCTTTTTAATGATAATATTCACTATACAAATTAAATTTCTTCCTAATTTTCTCTTTGATGATTCCTCTTTTTTTTCCTTTTTTTTTTAAGTTATTTCTTGTCCTTCTTACTGCTCTAGACCCCATTTATAGAACTTTTTTTTTTAATTTTTATAATCAACTTATCTCACAAGTTAATTTTATTTATTTATCTATATGACATATTCTTTTTTATGATCAAGTTGTATCACATATTAATGTGTCTTTCTTGTAGATATATTATTTTTTGTACCTTTTAGTTAGGTTTTTTATCTTGTTTATAGGCATAATATAAGGAAACTTTCATGAAAAAGGGTTTGGGCTAAGTTAATTTTAACAAAAAACCATGCTATAATTTTATTTAATGAAAAAAACTTAAATTTAATGAAAAACCATTAAACTTTAATAAAAATGACAAAAGAAATTAAATTTTAATGAAAAAGACATAATTTAAAAATAAATAAATAAATAAAATAACACACAGGACTCGCATGTCCTCACACATACTGTTTATGAATATTACTACACTGTTAATGAAACTTAACGGTACTACGTTATTTATGAAATTTACTATACTGTTTATTAAATTTACTACACTGTTTATGAAACTTACTACACTGTTTATAAACTTAACGGTACTATACAAAATATGAAACTTAACGGTATTAAATTGTTTATGAAATTTACTACATTGTTTATGAAACTTAATAGTAATTCACTGTTTATGAAACTTAATGGTACTACATTGTTTATGAAACATAACGGTACAATATTATTTATGAAACTTACTACACTGTTTATGAAACTTTACACGCGCTGGGATCACATGTTTATATTTTATGTTATTAGATGATTTTGGTTAAAATGCAAAATTTTGAAGTCATTTTCATTAATTTTCCTATAATATAAATTCATATATTTGTTACTAATTTTCCTACAAAGTGATTAGCAATGGATAGGATTCAATAAATTCATCCGCTTACTAATCTAATTTTCTTTCCAGTAGCACAAAGGAAGATAATGGTCTCCGCAAATGTATTTTCTTTCTCCTAACCATGCTAAGGGTGCTCCTACAAGTTAAATGCGCAACCTTGCCTATGTCTCCATTTGACACAGACTACATTATTGTTTTGATGTTAATTGTCGATTTATTCGCTTATGATAGGACATTGGCGATTGTCAAGATACAACAAGCTTCCCACAATTCAGATCTCTATGAATTGATGAACAAAATCGGCCTTTTGTGTGGAACTTTTGCCTTGATTCCACTAACGATCATCCTATTTTCAACTTTTAGGTGGTTTACTCTAGCATGTTGGGCCATATGCTTTGTGACAAGTGTGATTATGTCCTAATCAACCTTGAAAAGACTTTGCACAAGTACAATAATTGTAACTGACATACCTCGTTATGTCATTCACAAACTGAAGGAGCTGAATATGAGTTTGAACGATACAGAAGAATCCCAATCCCAAAACCAAAATGAAATATATATAGTCTAATTAATTTTCTGAAAGAGCGAGTTGTAGGTGTTGATAAGGGTGGTTAGTTTAAGAAATTTCGCTGCTCTTATCTTCATCTGATGCAAATTTGAATTTGTTTTATTTGAATACCTAATATAATATTGCAGTTGGACTATGACTCTTATGGTTCTTATGTATAAAGCCGTGTAATACAAAGTTTCATACTTCCGTTCTTTTAATGAAAAAGAAAAAATGGAGCATAAAAAATGTAAAGAAAAAGTGGTATACAAGAATAGTAGTCAACTTATCAACGATTATAATCTGCACATAACTTGTTTTCCTTTGTCCTTTTGGTGAGGGTTTCTTTCTGTTTAATCGATCTGAGGTTCTCGTTTCTAACATTGGTTTGCACCGTGAAGAGGGATTCCTATGTCACATTGCGTACGAAAATCACAACACTACGTGCATGTGTATGCATGGAATGGAATTGTTACCTTTTTCTGTCAAGTGGCTCAATGACTCGGAGGCAACTCATCCACTCGCTTGCTTCCTTTTGAGCTTCCCATACATAAAAGACCTCTCTCTCTCTCTCTCTCTCTCTCTCTCTCTCTCTCTCTCTCTCTCTCACATTAAGGCTCTAAGCTATAGTTCACATAGACGACCATAAGTCTTGTTCGTTATCGGAATTTTCTTCAACTCCATTTGATATACATTCATTCCCTATCCAATCTCATGTTCACTATTATTACAAATACAACGCTATCCAATTCTGCACTTCTTATAAAATATTTTTCTTTGCGATCACGGAGAAACAAAGCGCCCTAGTAAACACCTTGTTAGTTGCGGCAAGTCTCTTTTTATTTGCAAATGAAAAGCCAAAACAGATACTACTCCTCCATCCAACGTCCCCCGATAAGTGGGATTCAATGAAATTCATCCACTTACCATCTAATTTTCCTTCTAGCAGCACAAGGGAGGATAGTGGTCTCCCCAAATGTATTTTTTTTCTCCTCACCATGCCTTGCTCCTACAAGTTAAATGTGCAACCTCGCCGGCGTCTCCATTTGACATAGACTATGTCATTGTTTTGATGTTAATTGCCGATTTATTCGCTTATGCAAGGACTTTGGCAAATGTCAAGATATTGTAAGCTTCCCACAATTCAGATCTCTATGAATTGATGAATAGAATCAGCCTATTGTGTGGAACTTTTGCCTTGATTCTACTAACGATCATCCTAGTTCCAGCTTTTGGGTGGTTTGCTCTCGCATGCTAGGCCATATGTTTTGTGACAACTGTGATTAAGTCCTATCCAACCTTGAAAAGACTTTGCACAAGTAGAACAATTGCAAGTGACATACTTCATTATGTCATTCACAAACTAAAGGAGTTGAACATGACATTGAACGGCATGGAAGAATCCCAATCCCAAAACCAAAATGAGATAGATTAATTAATGGGTAAATTTCGTTTTTAATTGAAACTCACACAAAATCTTAAAATTGTACAATCTTGTACAAAAAATTAAGATTTCATTGCAATATTATACATTTGTCAATTTCTCAGTCATTATCTTTGTTATATGCCTACGTGGCATCACGAGGCCCACTCTATCACCTATATGGACTACCCAAATTAAAAAATCAGAAGAAAAATTTTCTTTTGGAAATTCATTCAAATTATATATATATATATATAATACGATATTCATTGATATATTACTACAAAATAAATGTATGAAGGTGTAGTTTTTATTTTTGAATGATTATAATTAATCACATCATAAAGCATATGAAGTTAACAATTTTTTTTTAACAATTCATGAAGTTAGGAACTTATTCTCAATAATGCAACTTGCTACAGAAATACTCAGTACACAGATTGTATATTTCAAATTAAATTGCTATTACCCAAAAATTAAATAAAATTGCTATATTTAACAGAATTTATAAATAAATTATGAATGAAAACTAAGAAGAAGACCCAAAGTTCAAACAAACCGATCTGCTTGGTTTACAGAGAGACAGAGAGGGGGAGAGAGAGAGAGAGACAGAGGTATCAAAATGCTTCCTTTCTCACCAGTCGCTTACAGCCATGAATCGTATTAAATCCGGGTTGGGATCATAGCCCTCCAAAACCCAGATTAGATTTCTCTGCACATCAATTCTCGACGACCCACGCCCTTAATCTCCATTTCTGTCAGAAAACCTCGCTTCTTTCTTGGACAATTGTTCAGACGCTCTCTCACTGAGAAAACTCCACGCTCGCATTTTCGCTCACGGCCTCGGAAGCAATATATTTCTCGGCTGCAAGCTTCTGAATTGCTAAGCAAGGTTCGACCTTTTATCAGATTTCAGATGGGTTTTCGACAGAATCGTCAATGGGAATCTGTCTCTCTGGAATGTAATCCTTGTTGGGTATTTCAGAGCCGGTCAATTCGACGAAGTTCTTCGGCGGTACGTAGATTTGAGGCGGTGGAATATCGGGCTGGATAGCGGCGCCATTACGTTTGGTTTGAAAAGTTGTATCGAGTTGGGGGATTTGGGATTTGGACGAGGGATTCATGGGGATGCTTTGAAGTCTGGGTTTAGTTCAAATGGATTTGTGGGTTCGTCGCTCATCGGGTTGTACTTTAGATGTGGGTTTGTTGAAGATGCAGCTGAAGTGTTCGATGAAATTACTGGGAGAGATATTGTTGTCTACACTTCGATTATTACTGGTTATGCTCAGAGTGGCGACCAACGTGCTTGTGAGGCTTTTGGGTTTGCTCGCCGTATGCAGAGGCAAGGATTGCATCCAAATCGGGTCGCTCTTGTTAGCTTACTTCAGGCAGCGTCGCAGTTAAAGGTACTGAAAGAAGGACGTTCAGTCCTTTGGTTTTTTTTTTTTAGGTAAATTATTTTGCATGTATTATTATATATACTGGGAATATTTTATTACTAACACATATGTCCAAATAATTTATGTTTACTTTTATGTGAATTAATCCATAGTTCCCTTTTAGTTTTCATTTGGTAAGAAAATGACAAGATTAAATTAAAATTGTCTAATTTTATACAAATTTGGAAAACAATTACAAAATCTTAAGGAAAGTATAACATTAATGTTTATTTATTTGTTTATTTGCCAAAAGCATTAATGTCACAACCCGTTCTGGAATTTTAATTCCGAGGACGTGAAGTTATGAAAATGCCCTTAAACGGGACTAAGGGGCGTAAAATATGTTATAACTTGATGATTTGGGGATTGGGTAGGATCCCACATCCCTCAAATCTCTCCCTCATTCCCGTACCTTGTCTCTCTCTCTCCTCCCTCACAAATCTCTCCTTCTCTCTCAGTTCTCTCTCTCTCCTTCGAACTCACACAGACCACCCACAAACCACCCCAAAACTATACCAACGAAGGATCTAAGACCACCATCGTACTCCTGAGGACCACACGAACACGATGGTACCAATTTCAGGTGAGTTTCACTTCGGAAAACATGGATTTCAATTTCACTGTGCGTGTGCATTGTTCATGCACACGTAAAGCTTGATGTTTTTGGGATTTTGAAGCTTGTAGGAAGCTTGGTAAGGTCCTAAGGAAGCTCGAAGTGCTTCGTTGGACAAATTTGGACGTCGGGATAGCTTGGTTCAAAGTTGGCCGGAGATTTCGAGGCTTTTTCCGGCGAATCCACGGCGAGTTAGGGGTCAAGGCAGGTATGGATGTGTTCGTCTCGTCAATACCTTCATTTTGATATAAAGAACGTCGAAAATGGTTAAGAAATGAAGAAGTTATGACACTTTGAAGTTTACCCAGAAATTCCGGCAAAACACCCACCTCCGGCGAAACCAGTCCGGCGACGCGAGGAAGAAGACGCGCGCGTGGGCAGCGCGTAGATTGGGCGAGTGAGGGCGCGTGGGACCTCCAAATTGAGTTCTGAAAATTGTCACGCGTTCGTGACGTCGTGTAGATCACCGTGGTATATTCACGCACCCAAATTGAGCAACGTATGAGAAAGTTATTGACGAATGTTTGGTGTATGCGCGTTAAATAACGATAATTTGGTTACTTTTTGTATAGGTGAAAATTATTTGGAGAGGGGTTACAAAGTTTTTGAGAAGTATTTGGATTTGGAAAAGAATTGTTTTACTGACCCACTCAATTTTGGTTTTGCGCCCCTCCAGGTTCAAGAATTGCAAAGGTGTGGTGACTACGAGGAATTTCAACGGTGTTCTGACAGAATGGACCAAATGAGGACTCACCTTCGGGTGGTTCATCTTAGAAGTTGTATATTTTAAAGCTTCCGAACTGTGTAAATGGTTACGTCACTCTCACGTGACGGCCAGCATGCCCTCCTTCGGGATGGGGTGTGTCAGTTGGTATCAGAGCCTAGTTTCAATCTTGGACATCTTGAGAAGTTCTAGTGAATTCTGTCAGAACTACACCACCTCGTAGCAAACCACGTAGTTAGAGGAACCTAGTCTCCCTGATTTAGCTGTTAAGGGAAACTATTATTTTGGGTGATTCAGTATATCATTTAAAGAGACATTTTAAGATGGGTTATGAGTTGAATTTGAATCACCTTACGAAATGATGAACCTGAGGGAGCAAAGTGATAGATTAACCAATTGGAAAAGATGTTTTAGATTATGCAAGTCGAATGAATCTTCCTTTTGACAGAAGGGTTGAGACGACTACCTGGTTTGAGTTATGAACTTGTATCCTGGTGGAAACAGGAGTATAATTCGTTGTCACCGGAGGAAACAGCCGATTGAGAATTGTTTAAGGACTTATTTAAAGAAAAGAATTATTCCTTCGGCATCTTATGATGGTAGAAAGCAAGAGTTTGCAAATGTGAGACAAGGAAAGCTGACGATTAATGAGTATTATAGAAAGTTCTCAGACTTGCCTCGTCCCATTCGAATAATGCTGCTATTTTGATTGAAGTGTTATACTGTTTTAGGTTGGGGGGCATAAAGCAGTAGTATTTTGGGTGACCACTATCCATTGTAATTCTTACCAGGAGTAAACAAGATGTTGTTGAGCCTTGAGGACTCTGAAGACATGTTCAGCGAGAGTAAAGAAGAATGATAAAAGAATGGGAATCAAAAGAGGACGATAAAGTTAATGATTCGTCATATCAAGAATATAGAAAGATTCAGAGCTTCAAGAGAAGTGAAGCTAGAGCTAATTCTTCCAGCTGAGGTTTTAATGCCACTGGTCAAAGTCAAAGTGATAGATTTACTGGAAATTCCAGATTCAGAGTCAAGGTGACTCGAGTAAGGGAAATGTACCTTGTGCAGCAGGTACAAGACTAAACACTTTGGAAAGTGTGGAATCAGTGAATGTGTTCGTATAGAGAGAAGGGATATAGAGTTATGAATTGTCCCTAGAATTAGTTATTACCCGACAGTTTCCTTGATACCACCAATATCGGTCCAGCGGGTGTTTGGATCATTAGTTTGGGTTATATGAACTGTAGGTGCCAAGATGTTTGATAAGTTGAATGTTCAGCCGAACAGACCACGAAAGGTGGATCCGGCTGACACATGAGGAATTGATGAGTAAGTCGTACAGATTACTATAGGTAACTCCGACTAATATGCTAGCATAGATGGTTGAGCTAGAGAATCAGCCGTACAAGTCATTCTAGTTGACTCTGGCTGATATGTTTCGTATTATGAATGACTTAGCTAGAGTCTACTTGTTAATAATGTAGAAATTTTATGTTATTAATGTTATTACCTAGAAAGTAGTAATTAAACGCGGTTGAGACGTGTGTATGTATTTCCCAATGAGTGGCAAAATAGTAATATTACACCCTCGAGAGTTGTTGCTTACTTATCGAGACAACGATGATTTATCAGTATTGCGGGCTGCAGACCGTAATATTAATAAATTATTCGTGGATTCGTTAAGCAAGTAAACCGGTAGGTTATCCTATGTTAGTATCGTACTTATTCAAAGTGCTCAGTAATAGTAGAGTATGTATTGATGCCAGCTACTTTTGTTCCATTAGATTGTGGATTTCGATATTATTCTAGATATAGATTGGTTACTTTATAATCGTGACAAGATAGATTACTACGGGAAACCAGTTACCTTCCATCGGTCTGGATGACTAGAGATTACTTTTGTAAGTATGCAAAGTGGAGTGAGGCAGGCCGTTATTTATGCTGTGAGAGCAAAGAGGTTATTATCAAAAGGCTGCCAAGGATACTTATCTCATGTGGTGCTAAATGATGTCACTTCTAGTAGTGTGGAAGAAGTGGGAGTAGTCAAACATTTACCTGACGTTTTCCCTGAGAGTTTACCTGGATTGCCTTCAGGCAGAAATGTGAAGATCAATATCGATTTGTTTCCAGGTATAAAATTTTATGTTAGAGATTAGTTCATGATGAATTAAGAGAATTGGAAATTTAGTTGAAAGAATTGGTTGATAAAGTTTTATTCAACCTAATACAACACTTTTGAGGAGCCCAGTTCATTGGTGAAAAAGAAAATGGACTTTAAAGACTATCCATTGATTATAGACCATGGAATCGGGTAACGATTGAGAACCGTTATCCATGATGGTGTACTGATGTTTAATGAATCAGCTCAGAGGTATTTGTATATTTTCTAAGATTGACTTGAGGTCTGGATATTATTAGTTGAAGATTATCGGTGAGGATGCCCTTATGATAACTTTCAGGACTCGTTAAGGTCATTTCAAGTTTTGGTGATGCCATTCGGAGTGACGAATGCATCTACTACTTTATGAATTTGATGAATGAAGTATTCCAATGATATCTAGACCGATTTGTTGTTGTTGTTATTGAAAAGATTGATAAGACTAAAGCAAAGTATGCTAAACATCTTAAATTGGTATTGCAAAGATCGAGGGAACGTCGATTGTATGCTAAGTTTAGCAAATGCCAATGTTGGATGAATCAAGTAGCATTTTTGAGATATATTATATCTGCTTCAGATATTCAAGTGAATTCTTAAAAGGTAGCAGAAATTGAGAATTTAGAACAACCACGAATCGTGATTGGGATTCGGAGTTATCCTAGCTTAACCAGCTATCATGGACGATTCATGAAAGATTTTTCAGTCATTGTCTTGCCATTGACAAGAAAAGAGGTTAAGTTTGAGTGGGATGATAATTATGAGTAAAGGTTTCAACAGTTGAAGTATTTCCTCACTCATGCACGTATTTTAGTATTCCCAGAGAATAGTGGTAATCATAAATTTTTAGTGATGATTCTTGAATGGTATTGGATGCATGTTGATGCAAATGTTAGGGTGATTACATACGTTTCACGACGAAAGGAACCTCATGAAATGAATTACCCTACTGGTGATTTGGAAGTCATGATTACCATCCTGGTTGTGAAGTCATGAAGACGTTATATTTGGTAAGAATGCAAGATTTTTATGAATCCAAAAAAAAAAAAAGTCTCCAATATCCATTACTTGGAAGGATTTTGATATGAGGCAGCGAAGGTGGATTGAATTGTTTAATGAACATGATTGTACGACAGGGGAGATCGTAAAATTGTTCTAGCTGATGCACTTGGTGAAAAGACTGCGGTAAGAGTTAATGTCTGGCACGCTTGCCAAGATTGTCTTCTTGTGGATTGGAAATCAACTGAAGTAAAGTTGAGAATGGAAGATTGAGAAGAAGTTGTAATTGCTAATTTTCAAGTTAAGTCTTTTTAGTAAGGTCATACTCAAGACTCAAATGGTTAACGAAGAAAATTAAGAATTAACCAAGGCAAAGAAAGAGGGGAAAAAGAAAGATTGCTGAGTTCGAGAATAGGATGGTTATGATTGAATTTGAAGTGTTAGTTGAGCAATGTACCAAGTTAGTACATTTACTCCAGTGTTGAGTAACAACCATAGTGCAACAGTACTTATATGTTTCATGGGGAAGAGATTTTGATTACGGAACTGCTGAGTTTCTTAAGTATGTTGGTTGCGCAGTTTCCGATGTAACGCCATAAGGACCATGAAATGTGTCGATTTTTGGCTGATTTGTGGAAGAAATGCTTCTGGATAGAGAAGATTCGATCACGAAAGAGTTTTGGTAGGCCCTGAAACTATGGATGAGTCTTCTCAAAGTATTCAGGTGATTAAGTTTAACTTGAGAGTAGCCAAGAATGGCAAAAGAGATTAATAGTTGAACATGTCACTAATCGAGTGTTTAACGTAGATGATTTTATAATTTTGAAGTTTTCACTTTAGAAAAGTATGATTCGGCGTGGAAAAGAAAGCAAATTAAGTCCTAAGTACATCGGACTTTATGTGATCATCGAAGAGTAGGTGAAGTTGCTTGAATTACTTCCAGAGTTATTGTAAGAGCATGATGTGTTTCATGATTCAACATTTTTAGAAATTTTATCACGAAAAGAAATAGTGAGATTTGGAAAGGAGACAAAATAAGTCTTAAACACATCAGACCATTTTTGACCACTAAAGGAATCGATGAAGTTGCGTACAAGTGGTGATGTCTTCAGAATTGGCTAAGGTGCATAATGTACTATATTTCGATGCGTTGTCACTAGGTGGCAGATTCGTCACATGGAGTTCTGGTGCAACTATTGAGAATTAATCCGGATTAGACTGGTTGAGGAATCAAGGACGACTTTGGATGGGAAAAAGAATGTATTGAGAATTAAGACAGTGTAATTGGTAAAGAATTTGTGAAGAAAGCTTTTAGTGGAAGAAGTTATGTGGGAGAAGGAGAATCGGATGAGAGAGATTTATCCGAAGCTATTGTATGAGTTTAGATGATTTAGTTGGTTGGAATTTCGGGGACGAAATTCTATAATGAGGGAAGGTTGTCACAACCAGTTCTGGAATTTTAATTCCGAGGACGTGAAGTTATGAAAATGCCCTTAAACGGGACTAAGGGGCGTAAAATATGTTATAACTTGATGATTTGGGGATTGGGTAGGATCCCACATCCCTCAAATCTCTCCCTCATTCCCGTACCTTGTCTCTCTCTCTCCTCCCTCACAAATCTCTCCTTCTCTCTCAGTTCTCTCTCTCTCCTTCGAACTCACACAGACCACCCACAAACCACCCCAAAACTATACCAACGAAGGATCTAAGACCACCATCGTACTCCTGAGGACCACACGAACACGATGGTACCAATTTCAGGTGAGTTTCACTTCGGAAAACATGGATTTCAATTTCACTGTGCGTGTGCACTGTTCATGCACACGTAAAGCTTGATGTTTTTGGGATTTTGAAGCTTGTAGGAAGCTTGGTAAGGTCCTAAGGAAGCTCGGAGTGCTTCGTTGGACAAATTTGGACGTCGGGATAGCTTGGTTCAAAGTTGGCCGGAGATTTCGAGGCTTTTTCCGGCGAATCCACGGCGAGTTAGGGGTCAAGGCAGGTATGGATGTGTTCGTCTCGTCAATACCTTCATTTTGATATAAAGAACGTCGAAAATGGTTAAGAAATGAAGAAGTTATGACACTTTGAAGTTTACCCAGAAATTCCGGCAAAACACCCACCTCCGGCGAAACCAGTCCGGCGACGCGAGGAAGAAGACGTGCGCGTGGGCAGCGCGTAGATTGGGCGAGTGAGGGCGCGTGGGACCTCCAAATTGAGTTCTGAAAATTGTCACGCGTTCGTGACGTCGTGTAGATCACCGTGGTATATTCACGCACCCAAATTGAGCAACGTATGAGAAAGTTATTGACGAATGTTTGGTGTATGCGCGTTAAATAACGATAATTTGGTTACTTTTTGTATAGGTGAAAATTATACAGAAGAAGAATGTAACCAATCTAGGGGAGGCTCAGGGACCCACGAGACGTCGATGTGATCTGTGAGTGGGCAGTTTTGTTTTCGTATATATACGTATGCTTGACGTATTTCCCAGAAAACGTATTCTAAAAGAAATACGAATTGAATATCCTGTCATATATGCATCGTATTTTAATATGTGCATTACCATAATTATGCATACTGTCGCATGGTGCTGAGGAGGCCCAGGTAAGCTACATTTGATATACATTTGATATACATTTGACATACGTAGGAAATACGTTTGGAATACGATTGAAATACTATGGAAATATAAATGAATTATGATTGTGATATGATTGAGATACGATTGAGATATTATGCTGATAACGATCATGAGATATGATTGAGATATGAAGAATGATATGATAGAGATGTGATAGAGAGCTCATAACCTGATCCCCGGTGTTAGTGCTCGCCTTGAGCAGGGCCAGGCCTTCACGTGATGTTCACCTCCCCGCACCTTATGCTCAGCTTGGATCCAAGCTAGGTGCATAGCCTGTCGTACAGACCACATGAGGTGGTTCCGACTCGTAGGTGACGTGCGATTATTCGCCCAGTCTTACGTGATCGTAGCACTAGAACGTATATATACGTAACACCCAGGCCTGTCGTACAGACCACATTAGGTGGTTCCGACTCGTGGGCAGGTTCAGTTGTTCAGTTATTAAGTTTGTGATTTGAGCTCTATATGCAGCCGTATAGGTCACGTTAGGTGACTCCGGCTGCCAAATGTTATGCTATTGATGTGATGAGTTGATTATGAGATACATATGCAGCCGAGGGCTGAGTTGATTAGAATGAAAGAGTATGAACTATGTTTATAGCCGAATGTTGAATTGATTATATGTTATTCCATCATATTCACATAGAGATGATGAGCATTCTGTTATGATACTTGGCATGACATACATTCATATTGTCTAGCATAATTTGAGATGTATTACGTATATGAGTATATACTTTATTTCTGGGAAAGTATACAAGTTTTACGGAGAGGGGTTACAAAGTTTTTGAGAAGTATTTGGATTTGGAAAAGAATTGTTTTACTGACCCACTCAATTTTGGTTTTGCGCCCCTCCAGGTTCAAGAATTGCAAAGGTGTGGTGACTACGAGGAATTTCAACGGTGTTCTGACAGAATGAACCAAATGAGGACTCACCTTCGGGTGGTTCATCTTAGAAGTTGTATATTTTAAAGCTTCCGAACTGTGTAAATGGTTACGTCACTCTCACGTGACGGCCAGCATGCCCTCCTTCGGAATAGGGTGTGTCAATTAACATACAATTTGTTATGATATATTACTATGCAATGAATTTAAACATTGATACATTTTTTTCACTAATCCCTCCATTCAAATCTGCATAGAATTAAATGTATACATTAAAATTGTAATTAGGGGTATTTTAGGCATTTGAAAAATGCAAAATGTGTAAAGTCAAACATAATTAATGAATTTGCTTATGTGGAGTCTAATCATTGGGTTTTAGTCAAGTAAAAAGACTATGTTGTGTTTTATGTAAAGAAACTTAAATTTCAAGCGCTAAAGTCATATTTTCATTGATTTTTATCAAAAAAAAAAAACCTATAAATATTTCAAATTCATGAGTTTAATTCCGTATCAAACTAGTTTTGTTCAAAATTCTATTTCTTTGCTTTATCTATTTGTATTTAATTTGTGTTGATTTCAATTAAATTAATTTGAAATAATCGAAAAATGGGGTTGCTCCCTCAGCAAAACTGGGATAAAGTTGAGCCAAAAGATCCCGATTCAAGATAAATTCATGAGGGACATATTTATTAAATTCACACTAGTGTAGTATTAGTGTTATAAGTATCAAATTAGGCTATTTAAAAACATTTTTATATATTAATATCACATTTAAACACATTTAGAGAGGGAAACGTGTCATTTAAACACATTTCCTTATTTTTTGTGTATATTAGAGCAAATTAAGATAAACTCATTTAAACATACACATAATCCATAGTATATGATCCATAAAGCATTTCAATACATATGGAATTGTCCTCAGTGACTTCTCATAGTTTAAAAAAATGGTAGCAACAGAGCCGCTGATGTATCGTTCTTGGAAATGTCCTGCAAGCTGATAATGTATTGCCAACGCACACGGCAGAGTAAAGTAAATGAAAACGAATTGAAAAGTCTTCGTCACAACGACGACAGACGACGACAACGACAGTAACGAAGAAAATAATAATGGTGAAAGCATATCGAAGGTAGTATGGTTGGCGACCTTAACAAACCTTTGGCTTTTTGCTGTAAATATTTGTAGTTGCTAAACATTGAGGCTTTGGGCACGGTCTTTCTAGATTTTTGTTCTCCATTTTGAGCCCTGGAAAATCAAAAATTAAAAAGAAGAAACTAACACGACGGTGTAAACTTACAACTTTTTTTTTTTTTTTTTTAACAAGTTCCTTTCTTTTTATACAGTTCTTCCAAAATTTGGACAACTCGGGCAAGGATCTATTTGTTTATTTGGCCAAAAACAAAAGACATGAGGCTTTATTAGGGGTGCAACTCGGACGGGTTGGAAGGTTAACCCATCCTAACCCAACTTTTACAATTTGAGATTGGATTTGGGTTGGGTTTTAATCGGGTTTATTCGGGCTCGGGTTTAATCGGATTCGGATTTACTTGGGTTGGATTCAAATTATTTTTTCAAATTTTAATCGGGGCATTAGCATTGAATTTTAATTCATATGTTTCTGAAAGCACCCACACAGACATGTATACATCCACAAAGACATCAACCTACTTGTATTAGCAAACAACTGACCTTAAAATCACTTTCCCTCAACTTGCTCAATATCCTGCTTCGTCTAAATCGGCACAAGAAAGCAGCATAAGAAACAATCACAACTCAAACTGTGAAGCAGATCTCAAAGAGAGGTCGAATAGTTGCAATATTAATTTAATAAAGGAAGTTGTTCTACATGATGTGATGTTAAAAGCAGAATAAACTTAATATGATTCCTTCAAGTTAAATTGTACATCATATCAATAGGTTCACATGAAGGTGCAAAAGTCCAAAGGTTATTGAGAAGCATGTTGCATCCAATCAAATTTGGTTAATCGGATTTGGTTGGGTAGAGAAGTGATCAACCCAATCCAACCTAATCAATGAACGGGTTAAAATTGAGTTGGGTTTGAACGAGTTATAACTAAAAAAAACTCGATCGCTCGGGTTTAAAGTCAAATTGGACATGAATGGATTCGGGTTGGCTTAATCCAAATTGCACCCCTACTTAATATAGATAATATCGTTTGTTTGAAAAAAAAAAACAAAAACCACGTGACTATTTCTCTCTCCCTTCTCATGCCTTCCTCAACAGTCACATATAACTGCAGTAGAGAGAAAGTTCCCAACTTCGAACAAAATTATTTACCAAGAAAAAACTTCGAACAAAATAAGCATATATATGTATACAAACATTTCGGTTAACCCTCTGGGCTTAGAAAAGTTAACTTTTTTAAAAAAATAATAATAATAAAAAAAAACTAGTCGGTGACATAGGGCACCATTTCGAAGGCCGAAAAAAATTATAAAGGCATTTAAGCCTCTCTGTGTCCCTGAAACTTATTGTTCAATTCACCAACGTCAAGAATCGAACTCAAAACGTGCCGTGTATAATACAGACCTAGAATTCATCCCTTTACCATTGAATCATCCGTGGTGGTTCTCTACTTAGAAAAGTTAGTTTCCTACAATGTTTCTCTTGTTTTGTTAAATTGTATCAATCATAAGTAATATAAACATTTTCTGGAAAATTAACTTTGAAGTAATCTTCTATGTATAAAGCCAAAGCCCCACCTTAGGGTCACAGCTTTGACAAAAAACAATATGGCCAAAATACCCTTCAGCCAAAAAAACTCAAAAGCAGCAATACAGAATGTCTAAAATAATACAAAGGTAATTTTGTAATTTTAACAGTGTTTTTTTAATAATTAATTTTTTGGTGCAGTTTTTTTTATTTTACAATTAGTACCTCATAATAAGCTAGCAATAATATGATTCAATTTTTCTATTTTTAAACATGTTTAAAACATCTTAAGAGACATGTAATGCTAATTATAAAAAAAAGTATTTCGCACTCGGATAATAATGTGATTAAATTAATTTTTAAATAAGAAAAATATAATAAAAAAAGAAAAAGAAAAATCATGAAAGTTGTGTTTAAAACATCTTAAGAGGCGTGTATTTGAGCCCAAAATAATATTGTTGGGCTGAGTATAGGTTTGTGCTCGGCCCAAAGCCGTGTCAGAAGTACTATGGGTTATGGAGATTCCGGGCCATTCAGCAGGGATGGTCGAGTCCTATCACAAGAAGGAGTAGTTCATATAAGCAAAGGGGTCGAGGAAATCCTAGTGTAATTAGGATTCTCGACCAACAATGAATAAAGCCCTAAAAAGGGGTGAGTTCGAAGTCCTAGTGGGAATAGGATTATTCGAAGCAAAGCTAGAACAAAACAAGGAATCCTAGTCCGGATATGAGTTTAATTTAGTCTCGAGGAGTTGGTGCTATAAATACAAGACATCATGCAACAATTCAGGATCTCCAATTCAACACACAACTGCCATGCGCAAAACCTCTCAAACATCTTGAGATTTTTTATTATTTTTTTCCGCCGACACATCTTCAGTTTTGATAAACAGCACTGTAAAGGCAACCAGCGAACACCTTCAGTTTGGATAAACAGCACTGTTGTCGTAGAATCAACCGATCGAGGAGCACCTTCAGTTTGGATAAACATCACTGCATCGAGGTCGACTGGTTACCTATCCAAGTCTCGGTCGAGAAGGGTTTTCGAATCCTTTTTGGCAGAGGTCATCTTATTAGCCTTCTCGGCGAAGTAAGGTGTTACGAGTTACGACATTCGGCGCATTGAACGCCGAGTGATTATATGATTGGATACTCACAAGTGAGTTTTAGAGTTCGGCATTCTGACGGCCGAACCACATTCACCATCAAAACATACATCACTTTTGAATACTTGTGTCCGTACAGTCTGGTGTCGATTCGATGTGCTTATACTTTTACGAATATAATCACTGTGACCGAATCCGGCGCCGACGATTTGTGAACTTCGCAGAACTAGCAGCCTTGTCTTCAGGCTCGAGAATCCAAAGGCCGAGATCTGTTCCTCCATCGGCCGCAGTCACAAGATTAAGAAGTCAGCAACGCGCTCAATGCAACATCAATAAATTTTACTCTTCGGCCGACGAGTTGGCACACCCCGCATTCAACTGAAGGACTTAGTTAGCTTATTAGTTACTCGGCATGCGCGCCGCGTAAACTTTGTAATTTTTAGGATCAACAGCGTGTAATGCTGATTATAAAAAAGGTCTTTCAGACGTGGATAATAATGTGATTAAATAAGTTGTCAAATGATTTTTTTTTTTTAAACAAATGATATTATCTACACTAAGGGAAATGAGATCGGCTTAGCCTAATAATGAGCTAGCAATAATGTGATTCAATCAGTTGTTTATTAAATATTATTTTCTTTGTAAAAAAAGGTATTTCGCAAGCTAATATTAATGTGATTAAATTAGTTGTCAAATAATTTTTTTTTTTAACAAACGATATTATCTACATTAAGGCGGAGAGATGCGTGCTTAGCCTTACAATGGACTAGCAATAATGTGATTCAATCAATTGTTTATTAAATATTATTTTCTCTATTCTTAATGTGAATTCAGCTGCTTTAATTGGTTTATGAGAGGTTTCTTCTAGCACGATCTAAAATTATTCATTTACTTCAAATATTTAACTTTTCTTTTGTCAATTTACACATATAAAGACATTTAAAATATGTAAGTCGTACGTAGAAGCAGAAGAGGGAGGTGAAACCAACACCCTTTGAACAGATGGAAGTCAACCCGAAGACAAATATTAAATAACAGAACTTCCAGGTGATCAAAGTAGATTGGTTTTTTTTCAGATTAGGCAGAGCCTCTGCGAAGCTACCGGGACTTCATTTTTCTTGTAAACAATACTTTACATTATTCTTCTAAAAAATCCAGGTGGCCCTTGCGTCGCGTGCTGTTTTCTTCCTTTGCTAAAGCCACCGGGTCTTCATTTTTCTTCTAAAAAATACTTTACATTATTCTTCTAAAAAATCCAGGTGGCCCTTACGTCATTCACATAGTGCGTTCCCCAGAAAAACCCCAAAAACCCCCACAGCATCAATCACGCGGCGCCAAAATTCCCAACTATAAATACCCTTACCCCGGTTCAAGAGTATTTACCCAGTTCAACAGCAGTTCCCCCCACCCCCAAAAAAAACACCCCCCACAACCCCCGCAGCTTACCTCTCGCAGTTTTCTGCTCTGAGCTTCGAAGCAGATGCGGATTCCCCCAACAATGGTCCCAGGGTCAGTGCATCTCTTGTTTGTTTGTTTTTGTTTTGGCAAAACTCTTTTTTTGTTTTGTTTTTGTTCACAAGCTGATTGTTTCCCCCCTCCGGTACCTCTCTTGTTTGTTTGTTTGTTTTTTTTTATTTAATTTAATTTATTTTTATTTAGAAAAACTCTTTTTTTATTGGGTTAATTAAATTTAAATGCTCAAAATTTGAATTTCTTTTATTAAATATCCATGCATTTTAGAATTTTGATCATGGCACTTTGGTACATTAGGCCACATCAATATTTGTTATTTTTTAAATTAAAATTTTACATATTGATTTCTAAATTTGTCCTTTTAATTAGTTGATAGATTTTTTTTTATCCGGCCATTTTTTTATTCGTGTATTTTAGGAGTTGCGGACTCTTTTTTAGGAGATAATTTTGGTTTTTTCGCTCAACATATTTATCCAATTATCTCTTTTAATTTTTGTTTTCGTTCAAAACATTTTTTTATCCTAAAATTGAAAAAAATAATTGAAATGATGGACGCTTAGATTTTTTTGTTTGTTTATTATTTAGTATACTTTTTGTTAGATAATTATTTTGTATACATTTGAATTTGTACATATTGTTGATTAGTGATAATGGTATGTTTATTGTTGGTTTTCATATATTGGTTTTGTATTGATTGGTACGTTTATTTTTAGTTTTTGGTATGTTTAGTTTTAGTTTTCGATACATATCGTTGATTGGTACGTTTTGTTTTAGTTTTCGGTATGTTTAGTTTTAGCTTCTAGTACATTTAGTTTTGTTCTCGTTGATTGATAGGTTTTTTTTTCACGATTTTGTTATGATTGTTTTTGTATACATTATGGATTGTACCATTTAGTATCATATGAGTACGATTAATATTATACATATCATTTATTGGTACATTTACTTTTATTCTTCAATGTTGGTTACTAGTACGTTTATTTCCTATTTTAGTAGGTTTGTTTTCATACATATATTTTTTATTGGTACGTTTGTATTATTCTTGATGTTATTTTCTTATATGAATTACTACAAAAATTTATATATGGATATCTTAAATGGTATTTTATTTCTTCATTGAGAGGAAAAAAAAAAAAATCAACGGCAGGGTATTTTATTCCCTAATAAATTGTAGATAATCATTTTTTTTTTGTATAATTATCTTTAAAGGGAATCAAGGGAGCTAGATTGTAGGAAATTTGTTTCAATATCTCTGCATTTTTTTCATGACGTGAAGAATTTAGGCAATGGTAAGATCTATCATTTTGGTACAAATAAATGATAGTTATGATAGATGAGACTTCAAATTTGTAGGAAAAATGTTTAATTAAATCACGAAAACCAACAAATGTTTAGTCTATAGAGTTGAAAACTCAAGTATTTGTATCAAAACGCCCATTTTTTGTTTTGTTTTGTTTTTGTTCACAAGCTGATTGTTTCGCTTTGCAATCATAACAAGTACCAACAAAAAAAATCTTTTCCCATATCTTTCGTAATTTCCACCGGAGTTCCCCATGTAAGTTCGCGGCACAGTCCCTGATTCGAAGGGAAGCGGTGGAGCTTAACAAGTTCCCGACCCCACGGATTTTTCTCTCACTATAAATTTCATTGTTGTCGATATTAACATGTATAATGAGACTCTATCTTTATTCTCGTCCGATTAATCAATTATGAAAAAGATCGAATGGTGGAGTGAATGGTTTGATCAATGAATATTCGATTCTTTTTTCAATTTTTAATCGATTCACAACAAGTCTTTCATTTTTCATATAAATATAACAAAAGAAAGATTTGGGTCGTCATTAATCATTTTGAGATAGTATTTCAGTACTATACGTATGTATATAGGTTTATCCTTCATCCTTTTTACATTAACTAACAACAAATAAGAAAGCAAATCCCATATTTGCCAACATCCCAAATTTGCCGACATGTTGAGTCCGTTGGCAGAGGAAGGAGCAGGAGAAGAGTAGAGAGTGCAGACGATTCGAAAGATTAGAAAGAGTGTTGAACCCTAATAAATAACAAAAAAAAAAAAAAAAAAAAGAATGAATAAAAAAAAACGGAAGTGGGAGGGTTCATCGGCTTTGCCTGGTATCATCGGCAATTTGTCCTCAGGGAACAAGATATGAAGAAACAGGGTTTTACTTTTAGCAAAAATGAAGCTTTAGCTAGGTTTAAGGGTGTATGAGTAATTTTCTATCATGTTTTGGTTATAATTATCATAAATTTAAAAATGTGGTCATAGTTCTATATGAGGTTCAAATTTTGGTTATTTTTCCAAATTTCCCAAGATCCATGCCTCGTAAACTTGGCACACCTTCAGGGCGGGCCCTCTTAAGGAGAGGATATAATTCAAAAACCCAACAGCCTATCCACTAGAATATTGGACCACATGCAAGCTTAAAATAGTGGATTGGAGGGTGTTTTGATATTTTAACATGATTAGATAAACTTTGGTGGAATTGAATTAATGGCATTTTTGTTATGTTTCGTTTTAATATTAGTGTGCAGTAAATAGAGGAGAAAAAAACATGTAGATATATGAAAGAAATGACAAATAAAAAAGCATAAAGAAATAATATTTATGTCAAACGGGGATCGTGGATAAGCTCATGTTCTTAATTAGTATTGTGGTCTAAAAAAGATGGTCTCCCTAATATTTTCCTATTCGTTAATAGTACAATGCCACTTATTTCCATGTAATTTTCACATCTAATCCTATATGTTGTTTATAATACAGCAGGACTAGGGAGGAGGGTGGTCAGTACACATCTCCACTGGCAGCACACCAACTGATATTCCAGTTCATCAACATCCTAGGAGTCTTCCTCCAGGTGAAGCATGCAACCGGAGATTTACCGTCTCCATTCGTCACGGACCACAACACAATTATGATGTTGATTGTTGATTTACTCGCTTATGCGGGGACATTGGAGACTGCTAGGATTCTCAAAGCTTCCAGGAATACAAATGGATATGAATGGATCAACAACATTAGCCTATTGTGTGGAACTTCTGCGGTGATTCTGTTGTTGCTCCTCCTCGATCGAGATTTGGGCTGGTTTGTTTTTGCATGTTGGGTGGCATCTATTGGGATAATTGTGACCATGTCCTACGAAACCCCAAGAAGACTCTGTACTGTAGCTGTCGATGATTTCCGTGAGAAAATGAAGGAGCTGATGGGGAGATTGAAGGGCACCGAAGAACCCGAGAACCAGGACAGGATGACTTAATACTCATGTCTAACCCTTAAACTTGTTAAAGTTGTTAGGTCTCCTGGTTTTTAGGATTTGTTTTAAGCAATGGTGAATAATCCCTATTCTAGAAGGACACGTTTGTTGCATTATCTGTTTAAGACTTAGTCATATATCACGATCCTAGGGTTGTAAATCGTGGGCTGTTATTTGTCTTTCAGTTTATAGCGACTGCAACTCTTTGATTTCAATAAGAAAGTTCTCCATGCATTTGACTTTTATCAAGCTGTTGTTTTGCAAGTTCTTTGTCGCTCTTCTTGGTTCTAACAAAACTTTAATTAATGAACTACTTGTTATTGCCTTTGTATTACTTGGTCAGCTATTATGCTACCGTTTCCATTAAAGACAGAGTGATCTGTTTTGGGTTAGAAACAAGAGTATCACTCAAATAATGTTGTCAATTTGGAGATCCAAGTTATGGATCAGATAATTAAGCGGCAATACATGGTGATTGTATTTCGAACATGCATGTATTAATAAGATTTCATCTCATCAATTTCTACGTCTTTGTAGACTTGTAGTACAAGGTATGTGCTTTTTTACAATGGATGCAAACCTTATATTAACCCTCTCCATTCAGAAACACGAGTTCAAAATAAGTGTTTCGTTTCCTTCTTATAAAATTGGACCATGTAAAAGGAAAAAATAAAAATAAAAAAATAAAAAAAACACTTCAAAGCTCGATTGAAGGAAAACCCCTCAACTATTCACTTACTGATTCTTAGTTGCAAAATTTTCTTTGTTCTAAGTTTTCTGCAACTGTTCACTGAACAAGTGCATTTGTTGCTTTCATGTTGTTGCAAGTGTAGCTCAATACTACCGCGTTTCTTTTGCTCTCATTCACTGCTGTACCATGTCCCGTAGTTCTTTAAGCTTCACAGCCACAACTGGTCATGTTCCTCCGGCACCAAACTCTGTTTTGGAAATTCTCTTCTGCTGGGAAAGAAAACAGAGCTCTCGTTGAAAAAAAAAACAAAAAAAAAAGAAAAGAAAATTCTGTTATGGTGGACAATCTACATTGAGTACTTGTATCAGCCAATCTCCTCGTGATTCTATTGGAAAAGCCCTGCAAAACAGAGGTGACCCCAGCCAAAGTAGAGTAGAGATGAAGGACCATGAATCTCTGGATTCCAGAGATTGAAGGGCAGGTTTTATCTGCAAATGCGTACAAAGGGGTGTGGCCTTTTGCAAAGAAATTCCCTGAAAACCCACAAGCCAGGAAGGATGGGGGAGTTCATGATCTGCATTCAAAGAATGAATTCCAAAAAGAATGGACAACAAATGCTCTCAAAGCTGGTAATTCGGATTCCATAATTGTTCAATCATACCTCATTGCAAGTTTGATTATTTTCATGTGCACGTTAGGAGTCTGTCTCTAGAACCGACTCTTTTTCGATGATTTGCTTCTCAGTGCAACCACTGTTTTAATGAATGTTTCTGCTAGTTTCCCTTAAGAATTAAGTGGCTATACACTAGCTATATATAAGTAATATAATTCTTGTTAACTAAAAAAGAAATCCAAATGCCTAATGTCTGCATTGTTGATTGTCATTAGATTTCATAAAGTTTATTCAATGTTCTCATGTTTTAAACAACCTATCCGTCATTTTTAGTTTCTGGTTAATATTTCCACCGATAACGATTTATCGATACATCCATAAATTTCGGCTACCACCGATATCGATAGTTTAATCCTTGCTGCTACTAAAGCGCAAGACTTGAAACGCTAACAAAGGATTGCAGTTGCCTTCATTTTAGACTAACGCATTGATATGTTTCATTTCAGAGCAAGCGAGAATTTCTTCTGGTGCAAGTTTTAGTCTTCAAGATTTTAATAAGCCATGTGAATCATCAGAACCTGAAGCTAGGATAGGCTGTGAGCCTGCTAAGCTTTTCACATCTGATCAGGATAAAACGGAGAAACGAATAAAGAGGACACTTTTTGGTATAGAAATCTCTGAAAGCGATATAAGTTCATCTGTTATGGCTTTGCAATCTGATGCAGCCACTTCCCAGTCATCTTCCAATTGGACAAAACCTCCATGTAGCTTGAGCCAAAACTTAACACCAATTCAAGTAAGCACTTCCGTTAATACCTCAACACAATCTAATAGGGCCTCAATCGTGATGCTTGAAAGCCGCGAAGTTATCAGGGACCGATTACTTCTAGATTGTAATTCAATACCATCAACTCCCGGTCTTAAAGATGAAGTGTCACATGAAAGCTGTTTTTTCTTTCGTGCGAAGTTGGAGGCCAATGAAGTACAGGCTTGTCACCCCTCAATGAGCCTTGTCCGCCAGGGGAACCATTCAAGTTTGGGTCACCGGGTGGATGTGTCTGCAATTGATGACAACGATGTTCCTCCAAATGAATATCTGCATGGAGTAACTTGTGGACAAAATATTATTTCTCTTCAGGGGCTGAGGTACCAAGAAAGCCGACAAGGAAGATTGCATTGGCTTGAAGCAGTATCACTTGGCAATGGTGAATCTTCCAAAGAAAGTGAAGGTTCTCATCATCTGAATATAGATTCCTTACAGAATCTTTCTAAGCAGTTTGTGAACCGAGCTGATTTGAGAAATGGCCGTTCTCAAGGTCTTATTCCAGAATCCTCTTCATTAGTGCATGGCCATGATGCTGAAAATGGCTACTCTGCTAGAATTGCGTTTGATAAGAGTGATATGGTTCAGGATCCTGTGTCATGTTCGTGTAGAGAGCAACTGATTGCAGACGGTCTGGTTCTAGACAAGGGATTATCAAACGAGAATTCTGGTTCAAGATACCAAATAGATTTAAATAGATGTTTAACTGAAGAAGAAACTCAAAGGATTGCCGCTGAGGATGGAAACTGTGATAGATTTGGAGGCACCGGCAGTAGTTGAAACAGATATATATGGGGAAGATTCCATTGAAAGAAGACGTAAGGATTCACCTCATGAGGGCCTTGTCAGAGCAGCAGCTGAGGCTCTAGCTGCCATCTCATCATCTCAGACTCACGCTATGCTGCAGGACAATGGCATTAGTGGCAAAATGGATGCTTGGGTGGTCACACCACCACCTTCTCCATGTCTGCCTTCTTTGGCAGTATTGCTTGTGGAAATCCCACAAGCTTCTTCGGTTTCTACCACTTGGTGGTTGCGATCTGCAGTATGCTATCTGATAGAGGACGATCACTGTTTTCTTTCCATCTCTGAGGTGCTATTTGGCTGGGCTCCTGGTAGGTGTTGGCTGTGGAGGCTCGTGCCCGTTGTGCTGTTGTGGCGCGTTCGGCGGCAGTGCATTGAGGAAGTTGTTAGAGTTTGTTTGTGTGCTTCTGTTTTGGGCTATTGGGTTACCACGGAGGTCCTTCTTTCGCTTATGTGATTTATGTATTTGGGCCTATGTTATGTAATTTTGTTGTATTTTAGTAAGAAGTAACCCATTTACCAAAAAAAAAGAGGAGGGCGGTGACAGTTCCAACTTCCACAAATGCTTTTTTTTCCTCCTTCTACGCTAATTCGTTGGCGCACGGAAAAATCCAAAAATAAAGTGTGCACTTTGTTGTTGGCAAGGAAGAGGTTTTTTTTTTTTTTTTTTTTTTTTTCTATTTTGGATTTTCTTTTTTGGACTTTGTTGTTTGGCTTTTATAGATAATAGGTAACGTACAATGTGATCCAACTCCATATAAATAAGTTTTGAGGATATTGTTGGTATATATTTTGTTCAACTTGTATTTTGCTTAGAATTGTGGTAGAGGATGGATTCGTTTGCAAATACTTTTCAAATATCTAAAAGGATTTTTGGTGAAACGTTTTTGAAACTAATTCTTAGTAAAATTGCAATTGAATCATAAAAAAAAAACACTTAAAGTACTTACTCTGAGAAGCACATAACTTGTGCTTCTAAGATGAAGCACTTCAAGTACGTTTGGATCCCAAACATTTTTTTCTAAAAATACTTTCAGTTATTTTAAAAACATTTCCAATTGAGTTCTAGAAATGCATTCTTTTGTGGTGTTAGGGTTACTATCTCTCATACTATTTATATATATCTTTGAGTTTTTCTTATAATCCCTAGTGAATTACATGTTCTTATGCTTTAAAGCTATCGTTTGATTTCTTTGTATTTGTCATTCTACGTCCTCTTTTTTTTTTTTTTTTTTTTGGTAAATTTTGTTGGACAAGGGAAAAAAGAAAATTGATTATCCAACTTCATGCATCATGAAGAGTGGCAATCAACTACATTAGACGGTATAAATGGGATGAAAATGAAAAGGGTAAAAAAGAAGACAATTCAAAAGGAATATAATATAGTCCAAATAATTAATTAGAGAATAATCTGTGCAGATATAATCGTAATTTGCTAGAGAAAATAGATATTGCTTCTCACGGCATTCATGAGACCATAATATATGAACAAAGTCTATTAAAAGAGTAATGATAGGTGGACTAATAATTTAATCGTTAGCATTAGTCATATCTAATGATGGCTAGAAATTACGTGATTATTATTAATTAATATTACAGTCTAGTGATATTCTTCTTCACTTATAAGTGAAAGGTCTTAGGTTCAATCATTGCTAAGGACAAATTTGAAGCACATTATTGCTAGCTATTATGAGGCTTAGCTCACTCTCCCACTTTCTTAATATTAAGGGTGCAACTCGGACAGATTAAAAGGTCAACCCAATCATAACCCAACTTTTACAATTCGGGATCGGGTTGAGTTTTAATCGGATTCATTCCGGCTTGGGTTTAATCGGGTTTGAGTTTACTTGGATTGGGTTCGGGTTGCCCAACTTTTTTAAGTTTTTATCAAGCATTAGCATCGAATTTTAAATCATATGTTTCTGAAAGCACCCGCATAGGCATGTATACAACCACAAAGACATCAACCTATTTATAGTAGCAAACAACTAACCTTAAAATCACTTTCCCTTAACTTTCTGAATAGCCTGCTTCATCTGAATCGGCACAAGAAAGCAGCAAAGAAACAATCACAACTCAAATTGTGAAGCAGATCGCAAAAAGAGGTTGAATAGTTGCAATATTAATTTAATAAAGGAAGTTGTTCTACATGATGTCATGTGAAAAGCAAAATAAACTTAATATGATTCCCTTCAAGTCAAATTGGACATCATATCAGTAGGTTCTCATGAAGGTGCAGAGGTGCAAAGGTGCAAGCATGTTGCACAGTTCAACCCAATCGAGTTGGGTTGGGCAAATAATCA